ACCATTGCACCCCTATATTCACAATATAATATGAAAATGGAATTCTAATTTATTCGTCCCCTCAGTAAATAAGCGATTAACTTGAGGGCGTATGAAGCTAATTTTCACGGTTCAATAACCGCAGTGGACACTGTGTAAATTGCCAATTGTGTAGCTTTGCGCTTATGAACAAACATATCTGTATTAATACGTTTTGTAGTGATAATATAATATTATATAATGATTTTAATACATTTTACAAAAAATTATAGTAAAATATCCAAACTTTCGTTTTCCTAGTTCTTGTAGGCGTTTTAACTGCGATACAAAACTCTAAATGAAAGTTGTTGCAACAATATATATAGTGCTATCTTTAAAATCAAAAAAGCACTGTTAACTATGTTTCTTATATTCTTTAAGCTAGCTAAATATAGTATAGAAGTAAAAGTATAAAATATGCCAGACATTAATTGTCATTCCAATACATTTCCGGAACTTAGATGTATGTCACGAAATTGTACAAATTCTAATTTGACTTGTTTTCAACTTTTCTCATTTAAATTATTTATAGATTCTAAGTTCTGTTACACGGTGTTTCGTTCCATGTTCTTATTTTCCTATTTTAGTCTAATCTATTCTGTCGTCTCTGTTATGAATTATTTATCGTTCTTATGGAAGTTCTTTTTTTTTAAGAAAAGTCTCAGTCGGCTTTATAACTGAACCACAAATACTTTCAACGAGAAAAACCCAAAGACGTGTGGGAAGTACAAAACGAAGGTTATAATAAAGTTTCTTAAAGTAGTAGCACCTTTACATATGGTGAAACTAGGAATTTCGTAAGTAGTTTATGGTGTGGAGGGTTATAGTTCCGTGAAATTATTTGCACTTATAAACTTAATTGCTCTTAGTTAATAATAGAGGTGATTGTTTCTCAAAGAACTAGCAGATTGAATTTTCTGTTGAGTGTTAATCGTACTTTATACGAAACATATTCCATTTGCAACCCTTGGAACTGCTTCTTCCATCGTTATTCATCCTCACACTAAAGTCGCAATTACTCATTATTCCCAAAACAGCGATTTTCATCGTAAAAAGCTTCTGGGAATTGAAGATGAGGTAAACCTCAGGTCACACATCTGAACTTTCTACACATCTACTTTATGTGAACATCTTCTTCCAAGACCACATTTAAGCAGGCCAAAGGTACAAAAGACCACTGGAGCTCAATATATAGGAACTTCACATCTATGTGATCGATTGGGGTTGCTGTGATTCCAATTTTTTCAACCATTTTTCTCAAGAAAACTGTTCCTGAATTCAAGGTGTGACTAGAACGTTTTAGTTTGTGAGCCTTCATCATCTTGAAATCGTTGTTTATTTTCTTGTTAACAGTACCAGCAGATTATGTGCAACTTTATCGCAGTGACTTTGTGGATCGGAGGATCTTCATGGCATTCACTTTGTGGATGAGGATGCTGCTGCGGATTAGCTTTAGATATTGGTTCGGAGACCACTGATATCCTGAATACTCTACAAAAGTATTGGAAGCTACTGTTGGAAAATTATGTGTCTTCTAATTAAACATCGTTTAAGAATGTTGTTCTATAAATATTTATTTTCAGAAAAATTCTGCCAACTATAAATCTACCCTCATGGCATCACACTACCGAATTTTCAGGATTTCGTCATGAACCAAATATATATATAGGTGCTTAACATTTCGCTCGTGATGCCACTGCATTAACATGTACAAAATGCGATTAACTTCCTGTACTTGCACCTTGTGTAGTGTACTTATTCATCGATTTCATTTACTATGCCCAAAAAGAATATCAACTAGATTAGTATGTCAAAATTATGTTTTGCTTTTGTACGTTTTGTGTTATAACTATTCCAGCATATCTCACGTTAGTTCATGAGATTGTTGAGGAATAATAACACGTTCTTTATTTCCTTTTTTAGATTTCGTACAGATAAGTTGCAAATTATATATTAACATTCATAATAATTTTCACAGACTAATCTTTGTTTTTGTAGAAGCTTCATAAGTGAATTTTTAACATTCAATCATCTGAAAGAATTTCATCTGATATGCTACTTGTGTACATACAGAATACTTAATAGGGTAAGCTAAACGTTTAAACTAACAAAGTTTTCAGTTACTAAGACATAAAAATACAGCTCAGCAATAATTCATATTCATCGCTATCGCAACAAAGTCTGACCTTAAACAACATCTTGGAACTTTAAAATACTTAATTTCCACTTTTGTTCTGACAACCAGTTTGTTTGGGGAAATGCATATATTTGAGCTCAACATATAACTTCTTTAAATAGTAAATACACATATAATATTAGATGG